TCTTATGGGAAGTGAAAACACCATTGTAAGGCTCTGAACCTCTTCATGGAGAGGCAGACCAAACCAATATTATCAATAAAGGCTTTTAATACCTCTCCCCCTAATCCTGAGTACTGCTTTTCGCTTCCTTCTTGTGGTCCAATGGATTATTACGATTTGCTATGATTTTTCCGTAATTTATTCGTATTGTTTTGCATTCATAAGATATGTGATAACTTTTGAGCAAACAGATACATAGTACAAAATTTCTTAGATAAATAGGACACAATAAGTATTATTTTAGAAATTTAAACTTTTTTTTAAAATTTCTTTTACAATAACTCATAAATAATTTTCAATTTAAAATTTATGTAATTATTTTAAAATTTCTATTTATTATTACGGGATACACGCGCAACGCGCGTACCCTAAAGAATAGTATAAATAATATATAGGAGTAATAAACTAGAAGTTGAAAGGAAGGAATAAATAAATTAAAGTTCGCCGGAGAGGTACAAACACATCTGCAATCTGACAAAAGAATCAACGTAACATCGATAAACAAATTCTTACATTATTTGGCTGTGAATAATGGGAATCCTTAGACCCGTTCTGTTATTAGTATATTTATATTCGACTATGAATAGTGAGAATTGTGAAGACTCATTCTCTTTAATTTTCGGCATCACTAATTCATTATAAATCCCAGTCTTTAGTGAAACCTTTTTTCTGCAAGTAGAAAAACTCTCTGTAAGCAGTCCATTATTTCTAACGTCAAAAAGAAGGGAAAAAAAAAGTGGAAATGGCTTCAAGGTTTTTTATGTTTGGGATATTGTTTGGAATGTGTTCAGTACTGTGTTTTGCATCTGACCCAAGTCCACTTCAAGATTTTTGTGTAGCAGACTCCACAACCTCAGGTACTAATCGAAGCCATCTTTTGATAAGGGTGGTCAATTTATCAAAATGGTACAAAAAAATATACTATATGTATAAGTAAAATATTACTAGATTTTAGGTGTATATAACATATATTGAACACCCTTTATCAGGAAATCTTTTACTTCTTTCAAGTCTAAACATCCTTGGGAAAATTTCTGGCCTCCCCATTGAATATTATACTATAACTTTCTACTACTTCAACGAACTTATGACTGGAAATGAAGAAGATTGAGTATAAAGAGTTACATATATTAAAATTCTTTTGGTTACAATTGAGCATAAAGAGTGCTTCTCCGTAGTCCAATCTTTTGGTTGACAACCTTGCTAGTTTTGTCAGTTAGCATGATATTACCACCAAATTAATAGTCTCATAGTGTATCTGATTAAATGAGTTTAACTAACGGGTTTATATTTATCCCTATTGTTTGGTAAATAATTTATATTTATCTTTCATCCATCTTTCCGTCCAAAAATATATACCCATATTTAATTTTTAACCCGAATAATAAAAGAGGTCGGGTTATACCCATATTTGATTTTTGAACGGAGAGCCAAGTGGCCCAGTAAAAATATGCCAGCGCATTAATTTGAAGGCTCACATGTTGCACCGTTAAAGGAGGGGCAATTTTATTAATAAAAATAACGTGGAATATATTTTTGGACAGATAGATAGATGGAGGATAAATATAAACCATTTACCAAACAATAGGGATAGTTTAGGCCATTTTCTGGTTTAACTAATATCTTTACATTATCAAGGTCAGTTAGAGCCTTCTAGTATAACTTTTTATAAACACAGGTTAATAATCAACAAGATATGATAAATAACCTATTATTAAAATAGGTAAAATTGTACTAATAACGTAAAATAATTTTAAAACGGTGCATATATATAAAAATTATTTGTGGATCTGAAACTTGGCAGTGCACGTGAATGGGAGGGTATGCAAGGACCCTAACCTTGTAGAAGCAGAGGACTTCTTTTTCAGTGGGTTGAACATAGCAGGCAACACATCAAACTCAATCGGATTCCAAGTAACACCGGCAATCATTCCAGGAATCAACACACTTGGAATTGTATTAGCCCGTGCTGATTTTGCACCAAATGGATTCAGTCCTCTTCATACTCATCCTCGCGCAGCGGAGATAGTGATAGTTCTCGAGGGTTGTGTTGAAATTGGATTTGTTACTTCTAACCCTGAGAATCGTCTCTTCATAAAAACACTTGAAGTGGGCGATTTTTTTGTTGTACCAAAAGGCCTTGTACATTTTCAGAGGAATGTAGGAGAGGTTAACGCTGTTACCATTGCGGCTTTAAGTAGCCAAGGACCTGGAACTATTCGGGTTGCAGACGCAACTTTCGGATCGGATCCACCAATTCCTAGTGATATTCTTGCTAGGGGTTTTCAAATTGATCAAAAGACGGCAAGTCAGATACAAGGGCGTTTTTACTGATGGAATATGAAGGGGAGGATTGGACAAATATGAGAATAATGATAATTTGATAGTTTTGTTATGCGATTTTCTAATTTAATTGTTTGTTTTCATTGTCCGTTCGTTCAGAGTGTTGTGTGTTTTGCCCATCCCTTGGCCAAAATGCTACTCCATTAGAAGCTAAATTTATCTATTGCACGTATGAAATGTTTCTATGTCAAAGATCAAGACTTCGTCTCTATTAAATTTCCTTTGTTGTATCACTATAAATCCCAGCCTTTGGTGAAGTCTTTCTCCTGCAACCAGAAAATCTTGGGACAATTAAAACCCAAGAAGAACTAAATTAAATTGCTTACAGGAGTTTTGTTCATGTTTAGAAATTCTAGGAATTCTTATATATCACATATAGTCATCATCTCATGCGTACTTTAGATCATCAAATTTTTTTCATGAATATAATCGTCCTTACGTATACATGGTCACGTAACATCATGAGAGATTCATTTATTTTTCCAAACACTTTATGTAAATAATCTTAGAACACACTTTTAGAGAGTAGACTTCATTTACCTCAATTATTGCTAGGACCGGAAAAAGTCGGGTGTCATGCGGAAGCTAGTAAAGCAAACTTTGAGCGACGATAAATCCAACAACAAAAGAGAAATCTACCAAAAGAGACACAAACATATAACGTGGTTCGGTCAACTGACCTACATCCACGACGGAGATGAGCAATCCACTATAACAAAAGAGAGTACAAAATATCGAGAGAACAACCTCACGAAGAGGCAAACACAAGTGACACACTAACACTTGTCCCGTAAAGTTCTCCCCCCAAACACGACTCTCAAACCCCATATGGCTACATTGTGGATGCTACTGAATGAGAAGGAAGGATCCTCTATTTATAGAAGCCCACACCTTTTCCTACAAGAAAAGGGACTAGCCAAATATGAAAGATTTGTAATTTTCTTCTACAAGAAGAAAAACCCAATTAAGGTAAACATGTTGCCCTTTCCTTCAACAAATAGGAAAACCAAATATGGTAAGAAAATTATGGCAAACACCTAACAAAGTTTGATCTTCAAAGAATATTGCATCAATAGTTTTGTCAATATCTTCAATAGTTTGATCTTCAAAGAATATTGCATCACGACTTCTAATAAGTTTATTGTCAACTGGATCATAAAAACGATACCCAAACTCATCTTGTCCATAACCGATAAAGATGCACTGCTTAGTTTTGACATCCAGTTTCGATCTCTCATCTTTAGGAATATGCACACAAGCTTTACACCCAAAAACTCTCAGGTGATCATAAGAAACATCTTTGGTAAACCAAACTCTGTCTGGGACATCACCATCCAAAGCAACAGCAGGAGACAAATTGATAACATAGGCAACAGTGTTAAGTGCTTCCGCAAGTCTAGATTCAGAGGTTGAGCAGATGGATGTCAAGACTGCTTTTCTTCATGGTGATTTGGATGAGGAGATTTATATGGAGCAACCTGAGGGTTTTGTGACTAAGGGAAAAGAAAATTATGTCTGCAAATTGAAAAAGAGCCTGTATGGATTGAAACAAGCTCCGAGGAAATGGTATTTGAAGTTTGAATTTGTCATAGAAGAACAAGGGTACAAGAAAACTTCTTCAGACCACTGTGTATTCTTCCAGAAGTTCTCTGATAATGATTTTATTATTTTATTGCTTTATGTGGATGACATGCTTATTGTTGGCAAGAATAAATCCAGAATCGCAGTCCTTAAGAAGCAGTTGAGCAAATCGTTTGCGATGAAGGACTTGGGGCCAGCAAAGAAAATCCTGGGCATTCAAATCCACCGATATAGAGACAGAAAGGAGTTATTTCTGTCCCAAAAGCAATACATTGAGAAGGTACTCAAGAGGTTCAATATGACAGATGCAAAAGTGGTTAATACACCTCTTGCTAAACACTTCAAATTGAGTATTAGTCAGAGTCCATCTACTGATGAAGAGAAAAAGGAGATGTCTCGTATTCCTTACTCTTCTGCCGTTGGTAGCTTGATGTATGCTATGGTTTGCACTAGACCAGATATTGCACATGCCGTTGGTACTGTTAGTAGATTCCTTTCCAATCCTGGAAAAGAACATTGGGATGCAGTAAAATGGATATCAAGGTATTGGAAAGGTACTGCAGATTTGAAGCTGTGCTTTGGCAATGGCAAGCCTGAACTTGTTTGTTACACAGACTCTGATTTAGGAGGCAATCTTGATAATTCAAGATCGACTTCCGGTTATTTGATCACCTTTGTAGGGGGAGCTGTTTCTTGGCAATCTAGACTACAAAAGTGCATAGCTCTATCCACCACAGAAGCCGAATATATTGCTGTCACAGAAGGTGCCAAAGAACTATTATGGATGAAAGAGTTTATTAATGATCTTGGCTTTGAGCAGCCAAGGTACATCTTATTTTGTGATAATCAGAGTGCTATCTGTCTCACCAAACCAAACATATAAATAGAAAGTATCATTGGATAAGAATAGCTGTGGAAGAAAAATTATTTGAGGTTGAGAAGATACACACTGATGAAAATCCTTCGGATATGCTGACAAAGGCGGTGGTTGCAGATAAACATGAATTTTGCAGAAAATTGGCAGGCATGAAACCTGTCAATAGTTCCTCTACTTGAAGACACATTTGGCCCCTTGGCTGGAGGGGGAGTTTGTTGGGCTCATGCCCATGTTGTCCAGCCAAAGGCCCAATGGCCTAATCCTATTCTCTTTTGATTTCATTCCTATTTGGAATTGGATTCGGTTTATTCCTATTTTGAGTGGGTTTTGGCTTTAAGAGAAAGCACCACTCATGATCTATAAATAGGACAACCTTGGAGAATTATTCTATGCTCATTGATACAAGTCTTTGAAAGACTTAAGCACATAAGAGTGGTTTAGAGAGAGCTTTCATCAAGCGAGAAGAGAGAAGAAAAGTATTTGTTTTGCTGCAGATTTTTATTCCGACCAGCCAACTTCAGATCAGGTTTTCCGATTCGTTAACAGTTGGATCGGGCTGAAATTTTGACTGAGTGTTCGTAACATCTTGGTCTTGGATTTGAACGGTGAAGATCGAATTTGGAGGCTGTAGCATCTGATTTCGAGCCTCGAACAGCAGCTTCATTTTTGTGGATTATACTCTTTCTTCAATTGATTAGTTGTTGCTATTGTTGCTCCGTGTTTGGCCCTTGTTGTGTAGCCAATTTGGAGAACTTTTGTAACCCTCTTATTGTTATAGTGGAGCTTTTTGGATCTTTGTGATCCCGTGGTTTTTACCTTCGATTTGAAGGGTTTTCCACGTTAAAATTTGGTATTCTTTATCTTCTTTATTTTCGGGTTTGCCTCTTCCTCAACATAACAATTATAACGAGTTGAAGTTACGAGTCCAACAGACATCTTAGCAACTAGCAAGGTTCAAATTCAGTGACGGAGCCAGGATTTTTATCAGGGGGATTTGAAATTTTAAAAAGTAAACATACAAACAAGTCAAGAGGATTCAACATCTACTATTTATACGTAAAAATTAATTTTAACCTTATATATACAATGTAATTTTTCGGTGAATGGAGTTCGGATAAACCCTCTTCCGCTACCCTAACAAAGGTTCGGCTGAGAGGTTACAACCCAAAAACAATCTGACAAAAGAATCAACGAATCATCACTACTTCTCACACTTGACATTTGGAACGATGAGAAATATTAAGACTCATTCTGTTACGTATATTTAAGGATACATAAGAAGACACAGAGATCCGTCAACTTAATTCCCTTTGCCGCATCACTACGAACCCCAGTCATTAGCGACATTTTTTAATGCAACTGGAAAAGCTTACTACTTAAGCAATTCATTATTTCTAAAGCTGAAAAAAGAAAAGTTGAAATGGCTTCAAGGTTCTTTGTGTTAGGGCTATTGTTTGGAATTTGTTCAGTGATTTTAGCATCTGACCCAAGTCCACTTCAAGATTTTTGTGTTGCAGATTCCACAAGCTCAGGTACTATATTAAAAATAATTTAATTTTAAATTTCCTATTTTCCCATTTAACATTATGGTTTTATAGTCACACAAATGTACAAATTCCAATGACAATTCATGAATATGTGGTTACTGTGTAAAACATGGGATGCAGTACATGTGAACGGCAAAGTTTGCAAGGACCCTAAGCTTGTGGAAGCAGAGGACTTCTTTTTCAGTGGGTTGCACATAGCAGGCAACACATCAACCCCATCTGGAAACGTTGGGACTAAGACAACCATTCCAGGACTCAACACACTTGGTATTACAGCGACTCGTGGAGATTTCGCGCCATTTGGATTGACCTCTCCTCATATTCATCCTCGCGCAACAGAGATGGTGCTAGTCCTCGAGGGTTGTCTTGAAGTCGGATTTGTTACCTCCAACCCTGAGAACCGTCTCATCACAAAGTTACTTGAAGTTGGTTATGTCTTCGTCTTCCCACAAGGTCTCGTCCATTTCCAGCGAAATGTAAGGGACACTAATGCTGTTGCGCTTTCAGCTTTTAGCAGCCAAAACTCTGAACTCACTCGTGTTTCAACTGCGTGTTTTGGATCCACCCCAGCTATTCCTGTTGATCTTCTTGCCAAGTCTTTTCAAATTAACGAACAGACGGCAAGTCAGATAGGTGGAATATGAAGGAGGAAAAAGAGAGATGTGTTATGCAATTTCCAGTTCTATTGTTACTTTTTAATCGTTTGTTCATTTAGGAGTTGTTTGGACTGTCTCTTCTTATTGCATTGTATCTTAATTGTTACTTTAAACACACTGTTTGTTAGGATCGTTTCAACTAGTTTTCCCTCGATGTTTTCCTTCAACCCACTGCCAAAAGGGTGCAGCAGATGAAAAATGACATAAGCATGAGAAAAATCATCATTTGATAATAACAAGACGTATATTTTCATTCCAAGACCGAAATATTTGCTCTTTCATGTCATCAATCAAAGGTTTACTGGGAGACTCAGAATCCTTGTAGTAATAAACAGATCAGTGCCTTGTCCCCAAGAAGGTCCGCTCAAAGCACAAATCAGATTAGAACTACTGTTGAAGAGAGACCACAACTCATCATAACACGCTTTGAAATATACAGCTGCAGAACTATCAGATAAAAACAGTTAAACTCTATCATAAAGTATCCACTCCGAACCAACTTTTCCATATCTATAGTGGAAGAAATAGAAGAAGCAACATTTACAGTACCAAACTTATCGTGGCATTTCAAGATCAGGCCTTTGATCAAGTGCCTGAATTGTTGTATTATCTGGAAGTGCATCTGGATAGGTTGACATGATTTTTGCCTTCATGCTCCTGAAAAGGGAAAATAAACATTTAAAAGTAATATAGGTTAAACCACAAAACACAGTAGTTCCCACTTTTGGGAATAGATCCAGTAGTCTAATAGCACCCGGTTATTTCTCTCAAAACACTATGGTACCATCCAAAATGCTGATAGTAACGAACATGGACTTCAAGAGTTTAAAATAAAGTCATAATGCAGTTTATATTTTGGCCTCACCTAGTTAGCAGTTCTAACGCTTGAATCAAGTTCTTTTAAGTTGTGGGAAATGAAACTGAGTCTGCTTATGTGAGCTTCTTAAACATAGCTGGTCTAAGTGCAGATGAATGATGAGGGTTTCAACAAATTGATGGCCAGCATGAAAATAGACTAATTGTAGAGATCCCCTGAATACTGAATAACAGAGCCTAATTGGATAGAGGCATGGTTGATTGTGGAAAACTATGATAGTTTTTTTGTATTCCTCAAATTTTTTACCTTAGGCAAAGAGGAATTTAAACTGAAAATCATGAGATTGGATCAAACTGTCGAAACGGTAGCACAAAGTACCACATGCAACAAGCCAATAATTGAAGAAAAGGAAGATGATGACTTTGATTGCAAAACATCTTTTTAAGAGAAAATAAGAAGGAAGGAAGATATACTCTTTTTGAACAAGGAAACAAAATATACTTTTGTGTTGCCACAGAGATCACACATCAAAAGGCTGAGTAGATTCTAATGAAATGTTCAAATAATGAACTGAGTAGTTTACAATCAGCAAATCAGTAAAGATGACTTATTAGGTGCAATTATAATGAATAGTCAAGCAAATCCAGCTACTTCCGGCACTTACCAAAAACTGATATTGAAATTCAGAAAGAAGAGGATAACGAGAGGGAAGAAAAGGATGGTCATACCTCAACTTCTGAAATATGTAATCAAGGTCTGACTTCATAGATTTTAAGAGACGTGTGTTTCTAGAGAAATCTGCCGAGACCTCTGTGAAACAATGCTCTGAATACTCATTGAAGTGCGAAAGAACTGCATTGCTGTCCTGCAACCGTCCCAATCTGCATTTTGAGTGTACAAGACATAAGGTAATCATGAAAAAGGCACCAAGAATGACAATAAGACAATGGACAAAAAGACTGAACGAACCAATAAATTACATGGTAAAAGCCTCTTCCAGAATTATGACAAATAGTCATCACAAAGGTGGCAGAATGTTAAGTTTAAAGGAGGTGGCAGCTTCGAAGAGGTCAGGAACAGGCTGATATTCATGACCACATCCTAATCACAACAAGTAGAAAAATACTATAAGAACATAATTTCTTTAGTGCTCGGATGCAAAATCATGGTCGGGAACAAGCTTTAAGCAAGTAAGGGTGACTTCATCGAGGAACAACCAACTCAAGCAGAAGTCAGAGCTTCAAACAAGACATAAGGTGTTGTATGGGCTTCTTGACACCAACTTTAATAGGAGTTTCGTCTGTGAAGTTTATGCTAATAAGCATTGTCTCAACTTTTTTCTTTTTTCTTTTTTTCCTCGATAAGTGACTGAAATAAAGCTTCTTGAGGAAATTTTCTCCAATCAAATGAGAATACCATAAGAGATTATAAAGGAGGTGATCCTTTGGCTCTAACATATGTTCTCACTGTTAATCATCGGGTTGCAGTGCGGAACTTTCTTTGTGATCTAAGGGGTAAAGACCCCATGTATAATAGATATGAGCTGTTGATGATTTGTATTATTGTAATGGGTAGCACACGAAATTTTACTTATTCAAAGCGAGGAAGGTACAAGTTTGATACTTTGATATACAAAACCTAAAGCAGTCTCACATCGAATACTGAATGTTTCTTTCAAGACTTGGTAATTATTAGCTGACATACCTCAAAAGTCACTTTCATAATCTAACATCCTTATAAACATAGAGTTTTGTCCAATAATAAACCGACTAGCTGATCATTAACCTGAATCAGATACAAAGATTCAAATGAGCCATGGAAGAATGTTCTTGTATGGGCACCCAAGGGTGTGGCTCCATGAAGTGGGAGGATATCTATAAGGTATTAGGTTCAAATTCCAGCGGAGGCAAAAATCACTAGGTAATTTCTTCACATTTGCCGAAGCTTTGAGTAGAGTTACCCGGATCTGTGCTGGGTGGGAGGTAGAGGTACCCGGTGGAATAGTCGAGGTGGGCCCAAGCTGGCTCGGACATCACCATTATAAAAGATTTGCTGTTGTATGGGAACAAGATAGACAGTCTGAAGTGCACTCAAAGATTGGTATCACAATACAGCTTTTGGATCCAAATTTTGACAGCATAATTTTCATAAAAAGAGAGAAACTTGTGCATGCCTGGATCTAATTGCTAAACATATGGTAAAACTGCTTTCCTTCTAGACTCAACAAATCTGGAAGATAAGTCTTTTCCGCAAGAAAATGAAACTTTGGCTTTTGAAATGCTGCCGCACCCACCGAAGATGTATGTTTATTTGGAAATCTTATAATGTATTAAGTAATATAAAACTGATATTTAGAACTCATTTATGCATCCAAAGGCGGGTTCACAAATCCATCAGTCTATCACATAACCAACAACTTATCCTTTCAATTCCATGGTTAAACTTAAACTTCTTAACTATCCAAAGGACCAAATTAGCTCTACTTCAGCAAAAATATGTGAATCCCACTACTTCTAATCAAGGAGAAAAAACCAATTTGGGTCCATCCCAAACTGTATAAGTTAATGGAACAACACCAAGAACGCACAAATCCATCATTTTATCACATCATTAGCAACAAACCCTCTCATTACCAATTACTATAAAAAAACCATCCAACGTGACCAAAGGTTGGTTTATCAATTAAAAACTTTCTGAACTACCCAACCCATTATATTATCCTAATTGACCATGATAAGCCAAACATTGAACCTAGAGCAAGAAAAGAACAAACTTTGGTCCAACCCAAAACTGCACGGCCTAATGGGGCAATGCCTAAGTTGCAGAAACTATGTTAAGCAACAACTGAACAGAATAAAAAGTGAATACAAGTTCTATCAGACACACCACAACATAGCTTTAAAGAAAAACAATTGACTCTAAGCTCATTCCAAACTCAGGATCGGAATTTGCATTATATTACTAAGAACAGTTTATATCATCAGATATGTTCCAAAGAATGAAAGGTTACAAAGAGAAGTACATGAGGTTTTGCAATTGCTTCAGGGAACCCAAATCCTGAGCATTGATTAGGGTTTTGAATTCCTTAGAAATCTCTTCGGATGCAGATTCGATGGATTCTTTCTCTGTTTCCTCCATTTTCTGTGTGTGTGAGGGTTACTTTGGTCGATTACTCTTCTGTATAAACGTTCTCTCTTTTTGATGAATTGCAAGTCTATCCTGTCTGGTTTGAAAAATTACACTTACATCCCAAACAACTTCTAAAATTTGGCCAAGCTTCTAAATTTATTTTTAAAAGTATTCTTTCGGTACCAACTAGTGTTTGGTCAAATTATGTGAAAAAATTACTTTCGTTAGTAGAAAATGGGTCAAATTTGCTGATGAAATATATGCTTTCCATTAAGAGTTAAGGTCAATTATGCCCTTATCGTTATATAAATGGTTTCTATTTGCCTTTTATAGACTAATCGAACTCAATTTGTTGTCACATGTCCATGATTTAATAACAAAAAATAGTTAAATTTGTCTCTAAACTATACAAAAAAAAAATTAGTCAAATTTTTTTCATTATTTAATTTTGACATGTGGCAGGAAACCATGCCTATCAATTTTATTGTTCAATGGATGCAAATATAACTCACTTTTACAACAGTAAATGCATGATTGACATCAGCTATTAACGGAGAGCATATTTAAACCTTTTCACACATAATTTAAAGGCAACTTTAAATTTTTTTTGTTAGTGAATGAGTATTATAAAAATATGCTTGCACTTGTCAATCTTTCTAAATTTTAGATCGACTATGTGATAAAGTATGTTTGGAGTTAAGTTGGTCAAGTGTATCCGAAATATCGTGAGATCCATTGCGCACTCGCAACGTTTAGATAATATGGCAATTGTTCAAGTTTTTGTTTAAAGAGTACGAAGAGATTTGGGTTAGATTTACTCATGCCCCAAGTAATTTAAGTCTTCTACATCTCGAATTCGGATGCATGCTTTTAGTAATCATTGCAAATAATTGAATTAGACGAAAAACTTGCTGAAATATTTCGGAATCTTAATTTTAATACTCAGATATTGTATTGAAATTTAAATTATAAAAATATTTAAAATAACTCTTCAATAACAATTTAGTTTTTTTCCGACCAATATAATATATGATAAAATCAAAATTATACCCCCAACTAAATGAGTAGGATTTTCTAAAAACCACATAAATATTATATTTAAAATTATGTTCGAATTATTAAAAAAAAAAAAAGTGTAAGATACATGTGGTAGATGAATTCTGAAAAGACTATCAAAGAAGAAGTAAAATTATAGAATTCATGTTAAATTAAAATTAGAATTCATTCTTTCAACCAACTCAAACGGATATAGCGTCTTAGTTTTTGTGTGTATCTATTAGGGGTGTACATGGAACGGGTTGGTTCGGTTTTTATCAAAATTAAAGCAAATTAACTACATCGGTTTGGATTGGTTCGGTTTTGTCGGATTTTTTTGGATTTTCGAGTTTTTTGTTACTTAAATATTATATCAATCTTACTTTGTTAAATTTTTTATAAGTAAATATATTTTAGTAAAAATATAAAAAATTGACAAACATATTATCTATTAAAATATTCTTATGAGAGAATTTTCTTAGTAACACATAATAGTTATTTTTTTAGTCGTATGACAATAATGTTTCATTGATGTACACTTTTAAGGTTAATCGAATTTAATAATTAAACATAAAAAATCAATATGATACCTAAATAATAATAATAATCACTTCACATTCGAAAAAGATATAACAATTTAGTAGATCTTAACATACGACACGAATATGGAAGAACAAAGAGATTGATGCATTTCAGTAACACTTGATGAGAAAGTGATCATTCAACCCATTATTTAAGGTTACTAAATATGGAGCACTTCATATACTATTAAATAGGAAAACTTACACAAATGTCCCAAATAATTCTCAACTTACCAACCTCTAGCCATTAGTCATAGACTTACCAAAACTAGCCAACAAAAATTAAAAAACCAAATAATAGGGTTTTTTCTCTCAAAGAATCACATGCAAAAATCACCTTCCATATTTTTAAGCGTGATTAACAACATTAGATACAAGACGGAAAGGAAATTTCATGGACGGGGTAGCAAATAAGGTGATGAAATACAAAAATCTATATAATATTCCAAAAATCTAAACAAAAAAAGGAACTTTTTCAATGGGTATAGTTGAAATTCATTGAAAATATATAGATAAGTCAATATACAAAATTTGAGGAAGATTGGAGGTGATTTGGACTGGTTTTGTATCAAAATTTGTAATTAAATCGAGTTCAAAAAAGTCTTTTGCGACACATGTATCAAACATGTATCACGCATGTATCACACACACAGGTATACATGGATATACATGTGATACACAGTTGATACATATGTGATACACAAATGATACACAGTGTGATACACATATCATTTTTTTTTTTCATGTTCAGCTTTTACTTCGAATTTTCAATTCAAACCACCTCAAAACTTCACCAAATCATCCCAAAACTGATATTCAAGCTCCTTAAGTTGTGCCCAATCTATTCTAATAACACCCACTCAAAACAAAGCAAGAATTTGATATTTTTTGCTACAAATAGCTAATTGGCTAATTTGGCTAATATTAGTAATATTTTATTAGTAATATTTTATCAATTGGCCAATTTTTGTAATGAGCTACTTATAAATGGACATAGCTGGTAATTTCCCTATTAAATATTATATCCCGCAAGATAATCCCAAATATTTCTAGACATATTTTAAAGAAAATTCTATATAAAATCTTAAAAGTATATATAAAAATTATATATTTATATGTCGGTTTGGTTCGAGGTTTTTTACTCAATACCAAACCAAATCAAACTAAATCTAGTCGGATTTTTAATCGGTTTGGTTTGACTTCTAGGTTTGGTGCAATTTTTCGGTTCAATTTGTACCCCTAGCATCTATAATTGGTTCTCATATAAGTTGGGTTCAGATTTAAGTTACATAGTAACAGAGGGTTGATTAATGTACTTTTATCGAATGGAGTTACTTCTTTTATTGAATAGCTGAATAAGATAGGATATGCTTTGGGAATTGAAGAAGCTTGAAAAATTCGAGCTAATGTTTGCTTTGCCTCGTAAGGCACAAAGTACCAACAACTAAAGTTAGGGTGTAAGAGTCACAAATATGTTAAATACGAGGGTGAAAACTGAAAAGTCCATTTATATAACTAGAACATTTTCAAGAACCCAAAACCCCAAAAGCCAGAGAAGTCTGTTAGCAGTATTCAGCAGCGGTAAAGATGAACAAAAAGGAGGTATTGAAGCTAGCTAAAGGGTTTAGAGGAAGAGCTAAGAACTGCATAAGAATAGCAAGAGAAAGAGTTGAGAAGGCGCTTCAGTATTCCTACAGAGACCGTCGCAATAAGAAGAGGGACATGCGTTCCCTTTGGATTCAACGCATCAACGCCGGAACTCGCCAACACGGAGTATGCACCATTCCCCTTTCTCTTTTTCTCATTATTGCAATTTTTTATTCATAAATTTTGTGGCTTTTTTTTGTGAATGTAAAAGGAAGTTTTCTCCTTTTATGCAAAGTGAATCAGCTACGGTTAATTCAGTATCTTGTAGCATACGTTCAATGTTTAGCTATATTTCAGTGTATTCCAAGGATTCAGACAAAAACCGCACTATGTAGTACTCATTTGACGTCGTGCGTCAAAGGCAAGTGAAGAGTCTATGATGAATTTGGTGAAAATCGTTTAGGGATCTAGATCTTTGTGATGAATTGAAGAAACATTTATGAAATGGGTAACTAATCCGGTCCTTTGTAAGTTCTTTTTATGTATTGTTGAAATGAGTGGTCCAATTAGCAGCAGGCGGAAATAAAGAGTGGCTGCAATAAAGTGTTGAATAATGTCAGATAGGAAACGAAAAGTGAATTATTAGACTAATAAGGTCTTTTGCGAGAATGACATAAACAAGTCTTTTATCTGACTATACTCTGGCGAATATGTGACATAGGACAAGTTACCAGCTATGCTTTGCAAACATCCACTCTAGTTTTGCATAGAATGGATACACAACCTAAATTAGAATATCAAAGGATTATCATTAAGTCATTCCTTGACTCTCAACTGAAAAAGATTGAGCCTGGAGAACATGGCATAGTTACGTTTAAGCTAATAGACAGTCTACGTGCCTCCAAGCTTGTAGAGAATGTCAAAATGTCATTCCTTCCTTGCTGTCTTGCACTTTTTCTGATTAAATAAGGATGCCCTATTGACACCTAATATGTAGATCACTTTGTTCACGGGATAGGAATGCGTTTGCAATTTGCTACCCAACTTAAAATAGCCTGTAATAGGCGTGTTTAGGTCACATTTTAATATGCTAAGTAACTATGTACTCCATATTTTGGTTTTCTTAAGTTAATGAGAATTTGGAAGGTTTACAGAATATTGTTACTAAGAGAACATTACTGGCATCACATTTCTCTTATGTTGAGTTGGATTTAAACTGAAAAGATTCTTTGAAATTCGTAAAATATGAGGATTAGCCACAAGGGTTTTGGTTAGATAGCGAAGTAGTACTGTGCCGGTTGTGTGGTAAGAGCACATCAAGAAATTAAGTCCTAGTTGGTGAACAAGGTCTGGTATTTAAGAGTAGTTATGAACCCTGTAGAGAAGGGTAGATCCACAAGTTTTGAACTGGAGCAACAGATATCTTGGTTTTTAATAGACCCAAAATAAAACACGAAAATTATAATACATCTGTGTTGATAAAAATACCCTGTATTATATCCACAGATTCACACTTGTAGAGAGACCGATATTTTGGAAGCCAGCTTTCGGTGGAGTGAATTTTGGAAATCATGGTGTGAAAGAAGCAAAGGGAACAGGGAGTGAAAAGAGAAGGTTAGAGGACTTAAGTCCCATAATCCTTGGACACAAATGCTTCCTCCGAACCTTCTCGACATAAGGAAGCTTGTTTTGGAAAAGGCTTCTTGAAGTGTGTCAATACAAATGCTATTATATTTGTCTCCGATCCTGTACTACTGCTGGATTTTAGAAATTTTGTCGTGCTTACTGAAATTTTCAGCATGGGATTAGAATACAAGCATGGTAGTAAAATTACCTAATTAAATTAGGGAGGCCTGATATAGCAGTCAAAGAGCAAAATTGCAGGACCCTCGGTTTTCGGCTGTGAAAACAATATATGCAGGAAGTAAAGAAGATATTTCTTATAGGAAGACGGACATTAATATAAAATGAGCGGATATGAACCATGAAATGCATTTGAAATTCGGGGTGTTTTTTGGATAAAGGAAAAAAGGAACACCCGGTGCACTAAGCTCCGCTATGCGCGGGGTCCGGGAAAGGGACGGACCACTAGGGTCTATTGTACGCAGCCTTACCCTGCATTTTTGCAAGAGGCTGTTTCCACGGCTCGAACCCGTGACCTCCTGGTCACATGGCAACAACTTGACCAGTTACGCCAAGGCTCCCCTTCTTTTTTTGATAAAGGAAATTCAGGAATATTTTACCAGCTATAGGGAGGGTATTTGACTTGAGAATTTGTTGGGAAAACAAAGTTTCAGTTCTCAATGCTAAAATGGCTGCAGAATCACAAAGTGGAGTATGTCATGATAGACAAATTCTCTAGTAGTTTCTTAACTTAGATATTCTGCTATTTTTCAGAAGCAACATTGTATTTTTTGAATGGTTGTTTTTTCCCGATTGCTTATAAATATAATAAGGTGACGTTCTTATGCTTCATGATCCTGTTAAGCTTTCCGCTATTTGCTTTTAGAGATTTGGACGTGGAGGATTTGGAAAAAAACATACATTTTGTAAGTTCTACTCTACAGTTATGAAATCTTGCAGAATCAAGCTCTTTACCCTACAAGTTGCTTTCCGTGGTCACCATCCTAGTATTTGGAATAATATATATGCATAGCAGTAGAACACTGAGATTCTCGCGTGTTTCAATATCCATCTTTCTCTCTTTTTTTTCCTTTACATAGTTGTGTCTGAGTCAGCTTGAGCGCTCTTCGACTATTTTACCGGTTACCTGGTACCTTCCACCAGTACAAGAACCGGGCAACTCTGCCACAGAGGTGGCTTAGGTAGATGAGAAAAATCTTCTACTCTCTATCTTCTTTAGCATTGTGGAAAGTCTGCAAATCAATATTTATTTGACTATCCAAATGCCAATTAGGCAATGAAATATATAGCTCATGGTTGGAAGATATTGCAGTGTTGCCTTAATATGATGAAAAAGAAGAGAAATGAATTTTGTAGGTGCCGCAAGATATCCATAAGTACATGAAAAGTTCCCGAAGTGACTTCCAAACTGGCACGGATATCCTTTGCTTGTTTTTGCATGTGCCGCACTTGCAGCCGTACATGCTGCCATCTAATATATTAACTGTGAAATTCATTACTTTTCGGGATCATGTTGTCGGATACATTTGGTTAATCTATCTGTTCTTTTACATTTTTTAAGGTGAACAGGATTGCAAACAGAGTGATATATTAAGCCCCTTGATTAGATAATTAGGCTTTGTGATCATTTATATATTCTTTTCTCCGTTCTTCTGTTTTCTGATGTACTCCTTTTTTATTCCCTGAACTTATCAGCACCAAAAGTGAAGTATATGAAACTCTCTTCCGGTTGAGCTGCTTAATTGGGAGATGATTCAGCAGGGTACTTTTAAGTGTAGTGAACTGCTTTAATATGTTTGTGGAGAGTTTTGGCATGAATTTGGCCTTTATTATCACTATATCTGTCATCTATTCATATCTGATGTTCCTAAATGATTTTAATTAGCACATCTCACTACAAGTACACAAGAAGCACCTTTTTTGATTCAAGTCCTGAGTTAATTCCATTTGTTTAACATTTACTCGATTTCTAGGTAAATTATGGCAATTTCATGCACGGGCTGATGAAGGAGAACGTACAGCTGAACAGGAAAGTCTTGTCAGAATTGTCGATGCACGAACCATACAGCTTCAAGGCCCTCGTGGATGTCTCTCACAGTGCTTTCCCCGGAAATAAGAATGCGATAGTACCTCCAAAGAAGGAAGGCCTAGCTATTGTTCTTTGAATTAATTTCCTATATATGCACTGCTGTGTGTACTCTTTTCTTCTATGTTGATGACTGGTGAATTATTTATTGAAGTCCCGGGAAGTAGAGTATGGGCATAATTTGTGCTAGCATTTCTGTTAGCAAATTCCTGACGATGGTCTTGAAGTCTCCTGTTTCATGTAAGTGCTTAAATGGACATTGTGTTCCCATCCTTATTCAATCCGTTTCCAAGCCATGGCTAATCTCTGACAATAAATTCAAGAAAGCTCATTGTGATGAATCCAAAGCCCTGGGACGCGTAATAAGAATTTTTGTTATCTAGCACATTTAACCAAAGTTTATGTTGTCTGTTCTGCGAATAAGAATTATTGGACGTTGAAAAAAACTCTACCTATATTAGAAAAAAGTTTAGAAGATCGTCGGTTTGAGAGTTTTAGCAAGTGTATTAGCACCAAACATTGTGTATATTGGTCGCTAGACAACATAGGTTGTGTATATTGGTCTCTAGATCCGATCAAGTTTCTCCAATACGTGCTTCCTGCAATACCAGATTTCGTAGGTGAAAATGACTTGTTCTGACTGTCTACTTTGAAAGATTGCCTTAGTTTATATGGTGGCAAAATCAATGGTACTGGCTATAGGTGAGTAATCTTGATTTTTTTTATTTATTTATTTTCAATTTCATAATCTTTGCGGTAGTCTTTTCCGGATTCATACAAGGGAGTTTTATAGCTTTACCAATAAAAACTAAACTAATTACCTTTGTCTACCCATTTATTTTTCTACGCATTAAACTAATTACCTTTAATACTCATTGTAGCTTTTGGTATTGGCTATTTTTTATCCTTTTCTTTTTCTCCTTTTTCTTTAATTTTTCCTTTTTCTCCTTTTCTGTTCTTTTTTCAAATCATATTATTCTTTATTTTATTATTTCAAATAATTTGATACATACTCAATTTTGGCTCCTTTCTTTTATTTTATTTTTTTTTCTCTTTTTTCTTTCCTTTTGTTCATTTTCTTTATTTCTTCTTCCTTTTCTAAATTAATTTAGCTCTTTTTTTCTTTTAATTTTCTTTGTACATAATCTNTACATAATCTATGTACATTCACGTTTTTTTTGCTCTTTTTCTTTATTCTTCTTTTTTATACAATAACGAGGTTTTGCCCTCGAGATAGTGGTACTGGTCAGACAGGCACGCAGCAGCAGGGTACTATGGTTACCGATAATTGATATAGTAAACATTTATTCACCTTCTTTAATATAACTAATAGTATAATATCCTATTTGTCTTTCTTTTTATATTTTTTTTCCTTCTTTAAATCAATTATTAGAACAACTTATACATTATACATGTTTTCTCTTCTCTTGTTTTCATTGTATTTTCTTTTTTTTCTTTTTCTTTTTTCTTTTTAAATATATGTATTACTGTAAATATTTCTAGCACATAGGATCCAAAATTATATATCACTATAATAAAATGTTATATTAGTATAATAAAATCACATATTAGTATTTAATGTTACTGTAAAATATTTGTCATAATAGTATACCAAAACTGCTTATAAATATACCAAATAGGTACATTACTATTTTGTGTCATCCGACACCTACTTCTTATACAATGAATATTATTTTCATGGAACTCCATTAAAAAAAATTAAGAAAATATTTGCAAGGACCTAGTTGGAAAATTTATAAAAAATTAAAAAATGACTTATTTATTACGGTATATTATTATTATATTGTATTAATAACAGTATAATGTTAATATAACTACGACTTTAGCTTTGCACAATAGCACCTAGATGATTCAACAAATAGCATCGAAGTATACTATTATGGTATATAGTATACTATTACAGCATATTGTTGCAGTATATTGCATATTATTACAGTATACCATTATAGTATACCATTACAGTATATTGTATACTATAACAGTATATTGTGGCAGTATAGCTATATACTCCTACAATATATTGTATACTGTAGCGGTATACTATTACGTAACTGTGTTCTTCTTCGATTATTACAGTATATCGTTGCAGTATATTGTATACTATAACAGTATACTATAGCAGTATAGCTATATACTCCTACAACATGTTGTATACTGTAGCGATATACTGTTAGGTAACTGTGTTCTCCTTCGATTTTCAGCTGAATAATTTGATGTCAATCACCTCAAATCAGCTCCAAACGCGATCAAGGTTCAGTATGAACTTCCAAAAGGTATTATAGGCAATATTTAATAACACCCACTTTGAATCAAACAAGAAATCTTCAAAATAAAAATTTTAAATTCAAGAGCTTCAAGCCCAACAATGATGGATATCCAAATACACATAAAAATTCAGATCCGGGAAGCTTACTTGAAGGCACTATAAGCAATATTTTATAGCACTCACATCGAATCAAACAATAAATCTTCAAAATAAATTTTCAAATTCAGGAGCTTCAAGCTCAACAATGGTGGGTCTTCATACACACACAAAAATCAGTGAAAAATTAATATATAACTACAATAAAACATGGGTTCAAATACAAATAAATACACAAAAAAGAATATACTAATATAAAAAGAGGATTTTGGAATGAAACTCATGCATAATAATATGAAAACTTGTCTTTTAAAATTTATATAGAAAATTCTGAAAGAAAAAAAAAAAGAAGGTAAATGCATGGGTTTGTAATAAATTTTCATCATCCACACTAAAAAGACTAAACTACGGGTACTTTTTGAAAGAGGAAAGGAACGTTTAGGGTATAGGACTCTTCTTGTTTAGAGAAATTTAGAAGGGAAGGGGAATTGGGTAGGCGGGTAAATAATCTAAACCGTATAGGTAGGAAAAATAAATCCTTTGAGCTTGAATATTAAAGGATAAATAGTTTGGGCTTAATGGGTATAAAGTGAAATTTTTCCTTCATACAAGTGTAAGTTGGACTTTACTCTTATAAATTTCAAATTATACTTCTATGACACCATCATGTGCACTTGCTAGTGGTGAAAAAGTGTTCTTTTATGAACTTTCGAATGCAATTTTGCCAATCCAAAAAAGGCTTGAAAAAGGGGAAGAATTAACACCAATAGCCGTCCCACCTAATCTCTTAAGATAAATATAGCCGGCGGATATATAATATATATAAAATTCATGTAATATATATATATAACTGTGTATATCTACGTATACTGACTAGAAAAAGTAAACATAGAATCTGACAGGCTATTTGTAAAATAATGAAAAGGTAATTTCAATTGTAAATTTCATGCCAGATTGATAAATGAACACAAAATGGCAATGATTTAAAAGATAACACTTTCGGTACGTATAATCAAACGGCTCTGCTATCTGAACCATTCACTTAAACTAATATGATTCATAATTGGGTGTTGAATATGGAAGAGTACAATGTTACAGTACATATTATCTCCGGGGCATTTGCATCTATACCCGTTTTTTATGTCACGTTTTAACTTGTGTCCGCTTTGCAAAAATAATTGCAAGCGTACCCGCTTTTTCGCATAACTTCAGCATACAGGGCTGAAGTAGCAAAGGCAATCACGCAAAACTTAAGCATTCTAGTAGACGGGACTGAAGTTGCAAGTTTTTATTTTTGTAACTGGCGAACTTCAGCTCTAGAGCTGAAATTTTTGTTTTGTAACTGGCGAACTTCAGCTTTAGAGCTGAAGTTTTGTTTTGTAACTAGCGAACTTCAGCTCTAGACAGGGGCGGATTTAGGGGGGCGCAAGGGTGTCCGAACACCCTTCGCCGAAAAATTACATTGTATATATAAGGCAAAATCTGTTTTTTACCTCTATATATTAAGTTTTGAACACCCTTAACACAATCCAAAAGTGTAGTTTAGTGGTCAAGGGGGTTCAAATTTTACATAAGGTCAAATTTTAAAAGCTTTTGTTTTTGTAACTAGCAAACTTAAGCTCTAGAGCTGAAGTTTTTGTTTTGTAACTGGCAAACTTCAGCTCTAGAGCTGAAGTTTTGTAACCCCAAATGCTCTCTTTTTGCTTTCTGTTTCAACTGCAACTTTTATCACACATGGGTCAACTCCATTTTTTCTTCTTTCCTTTTATGGCTCATGGCCACATGATTCCTACGTTAGACATGGCCAAACTCGTAGCTTCACGTGGTGTTAAAGCCACTATAATCACCACCCCTCTCAATGAATCTGTTTTCTCCAAATCTATTGAAAGAAACAAGCATTTGGGGTTCGAATTAGATTGTAAAGGAAGTTGCAATAATAAATAGCAGAAGAGTACAGTGGAAATAGATATTGGTGGTGGTGGCAGTTCTTGGCCTAGTTTGTTGAGCTGAACTTCAACAAACAATGGGATCTAATCAAACTGGTAAAGATCATTGTCTCTGTTGCTACATTTTTATATATTCTTGGCTTCTTTCAGAAGGGATATACGTATCACTATAGAAGAAGAAGAAGAAAACGAAGGAGGAGGAGAAAGAGAGCTGAAGTTGTTTAAAAAGTGGGTACAGGTTAAAACTTTTTAAGAAAATGGGTATAGGTTAAATGGGGGCGACCAAATAGGACGCCCCGTGCAATTTTTACATTATCTCCCGACCATATTCATTGATAGAAATTAAATTAATAAATTTGAAATAAATGACAAATAGCAGACATGTCGAGCACTTTTTATGACTCTTCTACATATTTTAACATTTTATTTATTTATTTATCAATATACTTATTTATTTATGAGTACAAAACAGATGAGCATTTGAAAAGTGAGTTTGGAAGCATTAGAAGGAAATCGTGATGGCTAAAGCTATGTTTAAAATATAGCCTAAATCTATACCATGTTCCATGTCCATGTTGAATCAGAGGTATTAAATTTACTTTAATACGTAAAAGGGACAAAGACTGACCATGCTCGTTGTTGTAGTCCGTTACAAAATTATTTTTAGTTTTATGTCTTTTTACAAGCAATATTCAATTTTACACATAAAAGATCTGAAAATAACATACAAAAGATATGAAAAAGACAATTTTCTTCTATTCAAACTGTAAATAGCCACAAATATCATTTCCGTGGGATGTTGTGATGGCTGTCAATGAATGGATATCTAATTTGATTGAGTAGATTTGATCACTGTGCTATGAATACTTATATTAATTCATGGCATATGATGAAAAAGCTTGGACAATCAAATTTCAAATTCTAGCACAATTTTCATATGTAAAAAGTTTCAAAACCCAGCATAATT